ATTTTTGTGGGCACTTGGTGTCCATCTGGGGTCAACCCACCACACTCTCAGACAACTCAACAGCCTGGTCATAGGATGAACAGACTATTGGGGTTCTTTAAATAAAATTAACCTATTAGTTATTACAACTTTGTTTAAATTACATAAATTTAATTCAGTTAAACTCTAGCTGAAGCTGGCTACTTGGACGATTGGTTAGACTAGAGACACAAGTTCAAACATGACCACTAACAACTTTGTCAGCTTAGTCACATTGGGAGCTCATGAAAGATTTTGAGTGTTTGCCGAGCTGAGTTATGTGCCAGTGGTTTTAGCTCTGTGTATTAACACTGGGAATTTAAGTTACTTCTGGTCCAACTATCTACTTCCAGGATGTTTGTTACATAGCATGCCTTGCTGAAGAAATCATGTGCCTTTTAAGGCAGATGTGTTTTTAAAATGCAGTACTCTTGTGTGTCCCCCACCCCTTCTTTGCATTGTGGTTCTCTAAAACAAAACTTAAATATCATCAAGAAAAGTGACTGAGGGGATGGCCACTTACTTGTTAGAGCCTCATCTTTGCTATGATGAAGAAATGTCTCATGGGAAAAATGCAGCAAAAGGGTTGTTGTCCTGGTGACTACTAGCCAGCAGTTATAGTTGCCACTTTTGCCTCGGCATTATGTTGTACTGAGATTGAAAATTCTGTCCTTTGTAGTTTGTAGTCTGTCCCCTTGGACCCTGAACAGAATCATGTACATCTAGTTAGGATGTCATTTATTTCAATGCTGAAGAAATTCTTTACCCAAAAGTGGAATTGTGTTCACAGAATGCTGTCCTTTCCCATACTGTATTGCTGCCTGTCTGTCTAAATGCCACTACTGGGGGAAAATAAAGGGAAATTCTCATCACCTCTTCATTGAGCTCTGCACAAGTTTCAGAAAATGTTCTGATCTGCATGTGAATTGTCAGCAGGCAGAGTCTATTGCTGTCTAACTCCAGATGGATATAATTTATTTGAGATTATAAAAAGAATTATTTCTGTCATGCTGCTCTAACACACCTGGTGGTTCCCTTGGAATTCTTTCCTTGGTGATCCTCAAAGCGCTCTCCAAATGCTGCTGCAGAATGTCTTGTCACCACTTGGTGGAGGCAGGTAACCAGTATTGCCTGTCAGGTTATTAACATTTATAGAGATTCTGCCTGTGCACTTTTCAGACCATTTATTTGTATTCCTATGGGATATAAGAACTCATGTGGCAAATTTTAAGATGCAGGAAGGACTTCTTCCTTTTTTTTTCAGCTTTGGGAAGATATAAAAGGGCAGCTAATGGATGTCATTCTCTGTTGCTTTATGTCTGAGTGTGTTTGGGGAAAAATGCCTCGATACTTTCTCTGTGCAAATAGTAATCACAGCTTAGAACAAAAACTTGTACGAGTAGCAGTCGTGCTTTACATGCCCTTGCTTTTCTAGCTGCATCATCCATACTGAGTGTTGCAGCCTACACAGGATCTGCAAAGAGACGTGAGCTTTAGGGCCCTTTGCATGCAGAACTTGCAGACCTGTCTCTGGGTTTAAGACTTGAAGCTTGTTTGTCAAAACTTACTGTTAAACATAATCAAACCACTCTGAGATTCAGTGGTCATATGGGATGCTCTTATTTTTGTTCTTCTGAAGCTGGTGCTCTGAAGTGTTTAATGATATGATACCATATGAGGACATGTCTGTAAGGTGCTTGGTGTTATGTTCTCCAAGGAGAGACAGTTAGAGGTGCAGGCTCTCAGCCATCACAGTGGAGATGCATGGGAGTTTATGAGGATGCAAGACCTTGGTATATTCTGAGGTCCACTTTCATCTCTAATATACCTTTCCAGCAACTTGTTTCTGAACGTGTTAAGTACTTTTACAGTATTGGACTGTCTAAAAGTATGATTTTTAGATGACCCAAGTGATCTCCTTCAAGTGAGTATATATACTTGTAGATGAGAGCATATGTGGCTTTTGTTTTTCTGAACCATCACTCTCTTGTATCTTCAAGTGCTTGAGGATTGTCCCAAGAGCTGTGAAACCCTGTTCTGTCAGATGCTCTGACTGGTTTTAAGATTGTCTCTGAGTGTCAGTGGATTGTGTAGTTACGAAAATGCCTTTTTCTGTGCTAAGTTTTTGTTCTGTTGATCTAATCTTTTGAGGTTGAGAAGGCTATCATTTCAGCCTGTTTATGTAGTAGAACCTTTAAAAATACCTCTGAAAAGGAATTTGTGACTTCTTGGTTGGGGCCACTCAGCCCAGGCAGTATAGAAACTCAGACCACTCACAGGTTCCAGTAAACAGCACTGACCCCTGGTGCGAGGGATTGTGTGTCTCCCACATGAACACGTGGCCCTTCACTAAGCTGTTTCTTCCTGGTCACTCTTATACAGCCCTCTAAACGTCCAGACAATCATCAAGTTGCTCCATAGTTAAACTCCTTTTTTTGGCTGCTGTGTGGGCTTTCTAATTAGCGCTTCCAATGAGGGAGCAAGATTCTCTGCGACTGAACCATGAAAGGAGGCTTAAAGAATGGCTGTATGTCCCTATGTGAGCCTCTGTGATTTCTTAGTAGTTTGAGAGACTTTAAGGAACAGACATTATTGTTTCCTTTTGTTACTGAGAGTTCAGTCACTGGAGGTACTTACAGTCAGGTTTGTCTCCATTATTTCCTTACCAGCCCTTCCTGTCCCCCAAAACCTAAGCCTAACTTTGATGCTAGGTGTTTCATGCTGGGTCTTACTGCTTATTAGTCACTCTGAAGTGGGGAAGGATAAAACCCAACCTTGGCCATGACCAATTCTGGCGCATCATTATAAAATAAAAATAGAAACACATGCTAAAAATAAAAATTAAACTTCTGTGGCATAGTTTTCTTTCTGAGGGTTGGAGGATGCATAGTGGCCTTAGATCATCCTGTAAGCAGTTGATGGACACATCCACTTTATAGATGGGCAAAGTTAACTGGAACTTGGAGAGTTAATTTAAACAATTTTTTTTTTGCTACTTATTTTAAGGAATGGTTTTTGCATGTCCAGATCTATATTTGTTATTTAAATTTGTTGTACGTTGTCCTGTAGAAACCTAAAAACTAAACCCATGGAACTATAGAATTTCTGCCTTGTGAGAGCCCAGAAAAAAAAGCATGTTGGGAGATAGGCATGAGCTGTTGAAGTGAGCACAAGCACTCAGCAGACTCAGAATGCAAAGGCTATGAAACAGCTCAGAAGTCATCTATCTGTTTTAAGCAAGGTCTTAGAGACTAAGATTTTTTAATCTAAAGTTAAAACTGCCTCAAGTACTTTCATGTCAGAAAGATGCATCTTAAGGGGTAAAAAAATTTAATTATTTTCCTAGTTCTTACCTGTCAAATTGTTTGACATGGAGCAGCTTAAGTGAGGGGGGCTGGGCAGAGGAGTTTGGTAGAGGTTTTGGTATATGTTGAAAATTTGGCTGAACACTGAGAGAAAAAAGAAAATGATTTTGCTTTTTGAAAACATATAATTGGTGAGTCATCTTCTTTAAACCTTATTAAATAGCATTCAGTATTAACTATTGTTTGAGTTATATAGTGTCTGTTCAGAGCAAACAATGCATTGCTCTAACTCAAAACCCTTCATTAGACAGTGGGAGTTAGAGTGAACACAGGTTTATTGGACCTATCTCTGTATTGCACTCTGGGCTTGGTTCCCTGTAGCATTTTAGTGATACTTGGAACAACTGAGTGTGACTGACATTGTTACTAGCACTGTAGTCTTGGTTAATAAAGCAGGTTATGTTTTAAAGAAAGGGGCTAATAATAGTGTTTTTTTAATATGTTTATTGAAATAAGCTTTAAGTTTTGTAGATTTGAATTTTGGACTGCTTAACTTTGTGTTCAGTAAAGCCAGATAGTTATAAAAAATGACTGTGCAGAATGATAAAATCCTGTAGTGTTTCTCCAGAAGAAAAAGGTTGACAGAAGAGCCAGGTGAGTTGTCTGACCCTTTAGGCAAGATCTTGATTTGGAGATTGGGGAGTTGTGGGTTTGAAAAGTAAAAATTGTTTCTTGGCATGTCCGTTGTTCCTGTAATTTGTTTTCCATGGTGTCTGCAGTGATTTGTCTCTTGCTAGAGAAGGAGAAATGATGAAATACTGAAGTGACAGTCTGGGAAACTGGATACTGTTCTATCATTGTGTATCCTATTCAACTTCCTACGTAATGGTGGTGTGCCCTGTAAATTACCTAGCAGTGTTCCTATTTATGACTCAAATTACACACACAGGTTGTTTTTTAGTTTTCTTTTGCATTCAGTCTGATGTTGAAACAAAATGATATGTTTGGTAAAGGGCAGCTGAACCATAAAAAAACACCACAATCCCCTGGATAATAACAGGTTACTAAACAAGTACTGCAGCAGTCTGTTCATTGAGCTCAGTTTGTGTTAGTCTTCTACCTTTTTACAAGTGTCATTTGTTTTCTGATATCCAAATATGAAAAATTCTATATACAGCATGTCGCCTTCCTTTGCTAAATAAACAAGTACTGGTTTGTTTGTGCAATATGATCAACATTACAATCAAACATGTTTTATGCAAGTTCTTTTGAAGGAATGCTTTCCCAAATACGATTTTTAAAAGATTAGAGTGTGTTAGAATAGAGTCATAGGATTTCCTGGTGTGGAAGGGGCCCACAGCAATCATTGAGGTCCAGCTCCTGACCCTGTGCAGGCAACCCCAAGAATCACATTATGTGCCTGATACCATTGTTAAGATTTTTTTTTTAGAGTTGAGGTTTTCTCTTCTACTTGTGAAAACTTGAGCACAATAAAAAAAAAATAAAAAATGAGCAGGATGCAAAAAATTCAGAGGAAGATGAGTGGAATGAATTCTCTTTTCACTTCCTCTGGAAATAGAAATGTTTTAAATACACTGTGAAAAAAATCCTGCCAATAAAAAGCAGGAAAAAGTATAAATCCCTAAGTCAGAATGTACATTTTACACTTTGGTTCTAGATATCATCTTATGTTATTACACAGAAAGAGCAATGTAAATGGAGCTGTTTGGAAATACTGATTTCAAAATGTGACCACTGCTTGTTTTGGCCTCTGCCTGCTGTATGTTTTAGAGAGTACAGATAGTACTTGTTCAAACTCCTCTTAATTCCTTGCTTTATGAAAATTAACTTTCAGTTGCATCTGTGTGCATGTAATGATTTTAAAGCCATTAAAAAAAAATAAAAATCTAGGAGCGCTAAAAATAAGCTGCACTGTAAAACAAGTCTTTCATAAAGACTGCTCCTGGATTTAAAAACATTACAGTGTCTTAGCAGAGCAACACAAATATGTGAAACATAGGTAGTCAGGCACTTAGGAAGTATTGAGTATGTCCTGGGGTCCTCATTTCAAGTTAGAGGTTCTAAAATATTGAATAAGATATGACTGTAAGCGAGCTAATTTTTTTCAGTGGATCTAGCATTTTCTAATTGAGCCATCTGCATTCTTTCACAGTCATGTGCAGGTTACACATGTTAATGAACAGTAGGAATGAACAAGATACTGCAATCAATGGTCAGTTAAAAAGAGCCCCAAAATTATGTGTACTTGTGTGTACACACAAACACTTCCTGAAGTCATTCAGAGCAGCAGGAAGGTCCTGTCATTCCATAGATGAAGGCTGCTGCTTTAGACTCATTTTCTTTCTCACAAATAACTCCTGTGCCTCACACTTCTTGTCATCATTTTGTGGGGCTTTGGTTCTTGTGCTGGATCATTAGAAACTGTGTATTCATTAACATAAACATTTTCTTTTTGTTCTCGTTTTTATCTTCTGTGGCAAATGTTCCTCCATTATAAGTGTTAAAATGTGTGGGGAAAGCTGAGGATTTTTATATTGACAGTAACTCTGGAAAATGCTAGTTAATGCTTCTGTATCTACTGATCAGAAATCAGAAGAGGAAGGCAGGCTTTGTGCTAGATCACAGTAAAAGACATTTCTACCAGTCTGCTAGCATTTACATGCCAGTAAACGCAGCCATTAGGGGAAGATGGGGACACACATCTCCTGAAGATCTCATCCTGCTCTACATATGGCCAGACTGGCACATACTGTGTGGGCAGGAGAGATTTGTAGTTACCATATAACTTGATGTTGATGTGTAGTGTTACAGCATGGTTGGTTTATCATGTTTGGGGCCTATAGGTTGAGCTGAAGATTCCTCAGGAAAGTGGTGGAAGTAGAAGATTACAAATCGATTCATTTGGTTGTCAGTGTGCCAAGGGCCTTTAAGAATATCTCCACCTTGACCACAATAACAAGAATGTGATATCTCTGTGCTGTGCCACAGCAACAGTACGGTTCTTTTTGGTGAGTCTTCATTTGGTGCCTCATACCTGGAAAAAAACAACAGGAGTGATTTGTAGACCATGCAGTGGTGACTATATTTAACTTCACTTAATTTCAAATTAGTGTCAAAATAACTTGTATTTGCCACACTCTTCCTAGACCATTGAATTTAAGGTTATAAAATATTTGCTAGTCTACTCAGTTATGTAGTCAAGAAACTTGGCAAAGGGGTTTTTTTTTAATTGAATTTACACAACTGACTTTTATTGCTTTGGGTAGTTGGTGTTTGTTTAATCCGGTGAGCTCACTGTAACCACTAAATCTTCAAACGTGTTATGGGTATGGGGAATTCAGACTTCTAATTAAAGCTTTCTCTGTATGGGCATCCCATGTATGCATTGCAGTAACTTCTGCTTCTTTTTAATACTTAGCTTGGGACAAGGTAGTGCTTCCAAATAGGTGGTTCTGCTTGGGGGAGAGTTGGGTGGGGTTTTTAGTTTTAATTTTTTTTGGAGGGGGTCGGTGGTTTTAGGTGTTTGATTTTTTTGGGGAGTTTTTGAGCTTGGGTTTTTTTTGGGGTTGGGGGGGGTTTGTTTCTTGGTTTTGTGGTTTTTTTTTTTTTTAATTCCTCACTCTTTGTAATTCTTGATGTGTTTGTATTCCAAGAATGACATGTTGTTTCACCCTGAAGACAAAAAAAGTATCATAGGAATCTCTTCCTTTTCAGCAGCAGGACATACAGAAACTTAGGACAATATAGCCTGCAGCCAGAGAACTTCTGTGTAATTTTGATGTATTTTGTCCTACTGCTTTGTGGAACAATCTATATATATAATATTACAGCCTAGTAATTTTAAACAATTAAATATATATAATTATAGTTCATTTAAACACTGTGAGATCTAGGCAATGTTAAATAACTGAGAAAAATCTGGGCATAGTAATACTGTTTAGTAATATACATTTAAGTAATCATAAAGAAAATAGTTATGGAGTAGATGTTATAGGTAAACAACACATGGTGGTCTGTTTTAACTGAAGTTCTCATAATGGTTGCTTCTGCTAACGAAAATATAATCTCCCATACTTACCCTTTCTTGAAAGGATAAAAATTGTTTTCTGTAGGCAGAGTGAAGACAAGCTGTTTAGTGTTTGCCTTGTAAGTATTAAATATTAAGATCAGCATATATCTGGTTCTGAAATATGTGGGAGCCTTGCAGTAATGTCAAAATGTATATATTCAGCTGAAATCCTTATTTTCTTGATTGTGACTGGGACTTTTTTTTTTTTCTTCAGGGAAACTGTGTCAATCTGACTGATGCCTTGACTCTGTATGAAGAACAGCTTAGCAGGCTTTATTGTCCTGTGGAGTTTTCAAAAGAAACTGTGTGTGTTCCCTCCTACATGGAATTGTATCCTTAAAGATTGAAGACAACTTGTGTATTAATAAATCAAGCAAGTATAGACTGGTTGGAGGTAAAGAACTCAAGCAAAGAGGCAGTTCTGATTTAAACACTTAATTTTTTTTCATAGTAAATGAACAACTACAATTTTTTTGAGGATAATTGTAGGAATTGTTTTCTAAAAGTGCTGTAAATTCACAGCTGGTGAAATGATCAGCACCTTTCATGAACAGGCTGTGTTTTTGTTAAAGGTTCTGAGTGGCGTATGTGATGTAGGATAAAAACTGTATGATGAGGGTAATGCTGCCTGGGAGTTCCTACAAGGCTTTATCTTCCTTTTTTTCCTTTTACAAAAAAAAAGGAGCTAACTTCATACAGATTAGCATGATCCCAATCTTTTTATGTTGTCTGATAGAGCTATTCTTGAACATACAGTTCAGACTTGATTTTTAAGGCTGGAGAATGTTAGGAATCACTCTTCCGCAATCATTACTAGTTAGTGTTACTGGAAAAAACTATTTGAAGTAGAGGGGTATGCATATTCTCAGCCACATCCCATTCCTAAAAATAATCCTTCAGAATTTTTTCAATTTGTGGGTATCAAGTTATAGAAGAAGCATAGAAGTTTAAACCTCAAGCCCTTAGCGTGGAGGAGCATTTTGATCTTCTATAAGGTGGTTCTGCCAGCTGCATTTGCCTTGAGTATTTGCTTCTTTTGTGGGATCTCCCTGGAAATGTTTCTGCAGGGTGAAGCCTGCTGTGGCTGTCTCTCTAGACAAGGAAACATCTTTCCACGATCATCTTATTCATAATACATTAAGCACATTATACTGTCACAGCCTTTCTTCTGTTGTGTTTATTTGCCTCCCTTCTGTGTCTCTAAGCCCAGTAGTATTCAGTGCTGCAGCCTCCATGCTGACCCTGTACTGACTCCAAACTGACTATAGCCAGCTCCTCCTGCTTCTTATTATTGGCAGCTCTTTGTGAAACACAGATTTGACCTCACATTTTTAAGACAAAAGACAAATGTGAAGGATATCAAGATACTTGCCCTTAAAGCTTACATTTTCAGAGAAAATGACTATTTATGTCTTTAAAACTGCCAGGCCTTAATGGAACATATATGTGATTTGAAAAGTAGGCATCTTTGAACTGCTGAGTCAAGAAGAAAATCCAGGGAGATTTCACTTTTGAGTGTTTTGCCTACCCTTTATGAGCTACCAGAAGTTTTCAGAATTTAAATATAAGTAAAAAGAACTTTAAGTGTACAAGTGTTGCCTTTTTGGTTTTTTTCCTTAACTGCTTATTTTCTCCAGATGGGTATTCTACACAATTTGGAAGAAAAAGACTGACATCTGAACATCAAGACTGAGATTCCTAAATGTACATGCTGCATGGAGCGTATAGGCCTGCCACATGCTGCATATTGGCATCTTGAATCTTTAAATTATATGCTGTAGATGATCCTGAAACTTAGTCATGCTATTGATTGTGAATTCTTTAAATGTTTTTTTATTATTATTTTAATTTAAAAGCAAATGGAAAATGTATATTTTGACAAGCTAGGGTGTTATTTTTGAAAGTCAACTTAAAGATGAATAAGCAGCAAAACTATATAGCTGCTGACTGCACTGAACCTTTAGAATGTGATCCTTTTTATTTTTTTGTAGATCTTCACAAACTGGTTGATTAAAAAAGACATCTTTAGCATTTCATCCCTGAAGGGTGGTCCATGGAGTTTTTGTTGGTTTTTTTTTTCCAACAGATTTTTTCATTTATGGTGCTTTTTGAAAATGGGAGAGGGTTTTTGTGGTTTTGGCTTTTTTTAATGAACACTGCATTGCTTCCATATAGAGAAGGGCATAACTAAAAAGAAAAAAATCTTGTGAGAGAATACCATAAGTCCTTTGTTGCAAAGGGAAGGAAGCTGGTCTTAAATTTTTATTTACCCTAGTTTCATTCATCATTGCTGTAATCTCTGCTGCAGAAGAATCTTTGGCCTTTTACCTCCTGGAATTCTTTAGTTGCTGCCATATTGATTATTTGGATTCTGATATGGATTTGGCAGTAGCTTTGTACTGAAGCATGAAGATAAAGGCTGGGCTTTCATTCCACCACAGTGTAAGAGTGTAATGAGGTTCATGTGGGCATGCCTTCTCCCCAGCCATATGGGAAGCACTAGATTTTTGAAGTAAAGATAGAGGATGAAGAAATGTGGGTGTGATGTGATCTATCTTTGTGTGCACCTGTACTGAATGTTCTGAAGCAATTGTGTGTGCTTCAGTAGGGTCAGTGATGGTTGTATTGCCACAGATGGCCCATATTGTGTGAGGCTTTTGCTCATTCACTATCAGTGTAAAAATCAGTAGAAGCTGGAGTTCATTGTAGTTCTGTTCTGAAGAAGATGCATTTTCCTTTAGCAGTTTCTCATGCTGTCAAAAGTTATATTTTTGTAAGAGTCTGCTATGTATCAACTGAAATATTTGTTTAAAAATCCCACTTGAAAGGAGGTAGGAAGGATATGACCCAATACGTGCATTTTTTACTTCTCTAAGGTAGAATAAAAAGTGCACTATTTCCCTAAACATTCTAATCCTGAACAATAGTGATGTTTGATTCAACACCCATAATCAACATTTTCTTTGTTTTACTGGACAGTTGATTTGCCCCGCCAAGATGAAAACAAACCAAACAAAAGCTGTCCTTTATGTTCTTAAACCATACATTAAAAAAAAAAAATCTATTGCATTGCACATCAATAAAGTCTTAGTGGAATCTGAGTAGCCCATGCAGAATTCCAGTCTGAGACTAGAGAATGTGCCAAAATGATTTTTTTCTGTAATTGGGCAAAAGCTGTTAAAATGTTTTTGGCTTGGATAGCTAATAGATAGAAGCATTTTTCAGTCTTACTACTTTAAATTATCTTGGTTAATTCTCTTAATATACACAGGGTGCAGTTCTTCCATGACCTACAGCTTGTGAATCACTGAATACTCACAAAGAACAGAGCTTGCCTCTAAATACAATAAAGTTTCCTGTATCTCCCTGAGTGTTCTAGCTCTGTTGAAGGCATCCTAGGAAATACTTCGATGTTATTACCTATAATGTCGCTCTTCATTTATGATACAGGACTGCAGACAGTTTGTCTAGCTGCAGATGAGTGCAGATATCCTGTAAACAGGTGTATCCATAACTTTGCAAGCATGAATATTTCCATTGGTTCTTAGTGTGATTACTCATGTAGATGAAATGAAGCACACAGGGACAGAGCTCAGAGCATGTGTTCCTGGGTGAGCTTGGCAGATGTAGAAATCAGTCACAACAAGTGGGGGTGTTTTGTTTTGGTTTTTAGCAAGAAAACTTGTGAACTGGAAGATGACTTAACCTGCTCATTGTACCAGGGCTTGTGCTTCCCTTTGGCATCGCTGCACAGGGGGCTGCTGGGTGTGCAGGGATGTTCTGTAAAGATTTCCAGAATGACCAGGGAATTGCATATTAATAGCTGAGAGGCAGCAGTGCTTGCAAACTTTTCAACTAATAGGGTATGAAGAGAGTTGGAATAATTTTGTTTTTTTCTTTAACTTTTTTTAAGGTAGTGTTTTGAAGTGATAGATGCAGTATAAAGCAATTCAGCAAACACTGAACATTATATTTTTTTAAGTTGCTGAATTGATTCTGAGCAAATATATATGCATTGTTAGTCTTTATTTATTTGTTGCTGTAGTGTAGAGTTTTTTAAAAGAAAAACAAGTCTCTGTGTTAGAATTTTCAGATGCAAACTGCTATAGTTGATCAGTTTTCCATGTTTAAGGCCAGTTGGGAAATGGGTATGATTGCTGCACTATGTATGCAAACAGTTCCCAAGACATGGTTAACATTAGAGGTTTCTTAATTATTCTTTGCACTAAATGCTGCTTCCACCTAGAAGTTATTGACTGATAGTAGTTTGTGCAAGGAGAAGACTGCTGGCATTGTATCTACTGCATCGGTGCAGTGCACATCTTAAAATAAAGGTACGCTGTCATTACTTGTGTGTTTGAATTGTTAAATCCATTGTGGATTCAGTATCCAAATGACAGAATTGATGGGTATGATGCTTACCATTGTACCTCCTTTTTCTTTGTCACATAAACATACTTCCTGGTCCTTTTATTGAGTATCTTTTCTGTCACAGAGTAATAAATTCAGTTATTTTCCATATGATAAGTGCTCAGATACTGTGTGGTATGGAACAGCACACCGATATTTGTAATGGGGGGAATCACTTGAGGCTTCAGTGATATTTGCCTAGAAAGAGTTAATTTCCTGTACAGCATTTTAGATGTGAATTCTTTGAAGGTCTCTGAGTGGAAGTTTGAGTTTTTCCACTAAAGCGGTAAGTTGGCTTTGGATGACAGTGTGACTTATTGCATGGCACAGAGAAAAGACAGGCTTAGGAGAAGTCAGTGTGACACTGAGAATGATGGAAACTGGCACAGCAGTTCAGGGAACAGGGAGAAGGGCATGAACAGGACAGGACACATCAAAGAAGTCATTAATCTTGCCAAATCACACGCCAGAATAATGTCATACAATGAAAGAAAAACATGAAGATATTCCAGAAAATACAGAGAGATTTACATGAATTCCAGTTAACTGGGAAAGAGAAGTATTTACATCTGCTTTAAGTACAGTGATAGCAGAAGGCTTGCTAGTTGGGAAAAAGAAAGGGGGAAGGCTTAACTTTGAGGGGAAAAAAGTCTCACAGACTGAGGGTAGAATAAGGAGTAATTTTGGAGTGCCTGCATGCACAGTAGGGAAGATAGGTATCTTGGGTTTTTATTTTTGCTGTCTGAGAGGTTGAGGTGTTGACAGCTTGCTGGAGGGAACAAGGCAAGGGGATGGGTGAGAAGAGAACTCAATTTCTTATTTTAATTGAGGAATAGGAGACTGCAGATGATGTTGCCTGTGGGTAATAGGAGAAAGCTGACAAACTTTGCTCACAGAGAGAAGAGTAGTTGGAGTCATTAGATATGCCAAGGGAGCAAGTGAGAGAAGTAACAAAGTAAGCTACTGCTGCAGTGATTTATAATAGCACTGAGCAGCTTAAAAGTGCCTTTTTGAAATATGGAATGCTCTAAGAAGGAAGGAATGAGGAATGTGACATGGGAACTGGAAGGATGTGAAGAAGTTTGTTTCGTGGTCATACACTTCAGTGAACTTGAGCTTCAAAGGTAGAAGTGAAGAGGGCACAAAGAAGGAAAAGTAAAATGTGAAATTAACTTCATAATTGGAAGTGTGATGAGAAGTATTCCTGTGGCATGTCAAGAGAGGAAAGGATGCAGGGGCAAGAGACATTAAGTTGGAAAGGACCTGGGGCAATGAGCCAGGAGGAGGAGCCAGAAAACAGGACAGCACAACAGATGTGTGGGGATTTGGGGACCACATCTGGACATACAAGAAAGTACCAGTTACACTGTCCAGCCTGATGGTATTGAATGGAGAAGGAAGAGAAACTGGAAACATTTGGGTTTGATTTGTTGGGGGGTTTTTTTTGTTTTTTTTTTAAACTGAGTAACGAGTGCAAGCTGTCTTCTAAGTATTTTAGAAGGAAAAGAGCTTAACTACTGGAAATTAAATGAAGACTAAAAGGAAGCTTCAGATTAAGGAGTGTTTAAGGGTAGACTGATTACCGAAGCAAATAAATACGAACTTTATGAAGTCCAAAGTTAAGGCAGCTGTGGGATTTAACTGTCATGGATTGTCACTGCCCGGATAAGGGAGGAAGGCAGAAGGATACCAATAGCAACTCTGCTGTCTTCAGCTCATGAAGCTGAAATACTGATCAGAACTGGCAAATGTACAATCATAATTAAAAAGCACTGCTGCAGCCATCTGATTTCAACATGCCATGATAACTGTTACTTGAGAGGCTGTCTCATGACTCAATGATGAATGCACAGCACAATGTGCTGTATTGCCTGTGTACCACCCAAATACAAAAGTATTTTATTGGTGTATAATGGAAACATTTTTATGCAGCTGTTCTTTGTACAGGCACAGAAATGCACCAATGGAATAAAACAATAGTTTTAGTAGATGGGAATAACAAAGATGAGTGTGTACAATTCTGTGAAGCCTTTTGTTGTTCTGGTAGCTTCTAGTGTTATCTAGCACTTCCCCATTTAACTTTAGTTAATTATCAAACCTGATGGGTTTGATTTTAAAAATTACTTTATTTTAGTCCATGCTTTGTCCTGATTCTGCTCTTAGGCTCCTCACTGGGATCTCCTGTGAAATTGCATCCTAGTGCTTGGCATGTCTTGTAAACCCTTAGGTGCTTTCAATGATGTTTTATAACCACTGATTAGTTAATTGGGGTGGAAGGATGACAGGCTTTTTTCAGCAAACAAATTTTTGACAGTTCATTGTTTAAAATCACAATGAAGACTGACAGAATACTTATAGGAACATGTATTGACTTTCCTTTTTAGAAAGGACCAAATATTAGAAATTTTCACCTGTGTCTTGAATTAAAATGTTTCTACTACGATTGTAAAATTCTTGCAATATATATGACAGTTGAATACTAAGGAAAGGGAAGTTATCTGCTGGCATTTTCTGGAGCTGATTTGCAGACAGCCTTGTGGCTTAAGTTATAGTCAAGATGCACTTACTAGAACATGAAGATACTCAGCCATTAACACTGCCAACACTAAACTACGTCCCTGAATGCCATCAACTCCATGGATGGTGACTCATCTGCTTTCCTGGACAGCCTGTTCCAGTGCTTCACGATGCTTTCAGTGAAGAAAGTTTCTCGTAATAGCCAGTGTAAACTGCCTGTGGCACTGAGGCCATTGGCTCTTGCCCTGCTGTTTATTACTTGAGAGAAAAGAGTGACCCCCACCTTGCTATAACCTCCTTTCAGGTGGTTCCAGAGAGCAATAATGTCTCCTCAGTCTTTTCTTGAGGCTCAAGAAACCCTCTTGGCTCAGCTGCTCCTCCTGAGGTTTGTGCTATAGGGTCCCACAACATGAGCCCCCGAAGGCCTGTAGAGGCCCCTGAGTTCTCTTCACCCACTGCTGGAGCCTCACCTCTATCTGGATGCACTTCGATGGCTCCTGGCAGATGGCCTTGTATGCAGAGGCTTCAGGTTTTTGCTTTTCTTTCTGCACTGCTCCAGAGTAGAAGTATTGCCTGTGTCTCCCTGGCGGTTGCAAAGGTCGCCCATGGCACAGGTAAATGGGTGCCTTCGGCCTGGGTGTCTGGGCCTGGTAGCAGTGAAGCCGCAGGAGTGGCAGGGGTGAGAACTGACAAAATGCTGCATAATGGAGTTGGGAGCAGTGAGGTGTGAGGAGGAGGGGAGAAAGTACTGCAGGCATAAGAGAGATTCCCCTGCTGCCTTGGGCAGGACTCCAATGGAGCATGGACTTCCCTGCAGCCCTTGGAGGGAACTAGGCCGGAGTAGGGATCCACACTACTCTCCACAGGAGAGTATCCTGTGGCATGTGGATGTTCACTGAAGAAACTGCCGCCCCTCCGGCAGCAGATTTATCCTGAAGGACTGTGGCCCTTGGGCAGGATCCCACTCTGGAGCAAGAGAAAAGTGTGTGGAAGATGGAGCCGCGAGGTAGAGTTGGTGGTAGTGACTGAGCCCAGCTCGGTGCCTTGCACCTCTCAGGGGAGTGGGGCAAGGAAGGGGCAGGAGTGAATTTCAGTACGAGAAAAAAAAGACTTGAGGTTTGAGAGATGTTTAATCTTTGTTGCTCACTTCCCTGCATTTTTAACTGGCAACATACTAAACCAATTTGGTAACTGGTAAAATGGAATGGAAGCTCAGCTGGAAAGAACATCTAGAGCAAAAAGAAGTATCTAGTCCAACTTCCTGACCACCTTAGAGTGACCAAAAGTTAGAGCATGTTGTTAAAGGGCATTGCCCAAATGCTTCTTATATGCTGACAGGCTGGGAGCACTCACCATCTCTCTAGGAGACCTGTAGGCTGGACGCTTTTCTTTGGTCTCCCTGGAACACCTTCAACCTTAAAAAAAAAAAAAAGATCCATTAGGTATGACTGGGAATACCAGAGAGGAATTCAGTGCTCTTCTAGGTAAGTAGGGCGCGAGAGAGCCTCATTAAAACAGAGGAATCCAAACCATTTTGAAGTTGCTGACTGCTTGGCCTGGAGGCATGAAAATACTAACTACTTTTGGAACTTCTGGAACCATGAAAGAGGTTGTTCTCTTGAGCTAAATTGAAAGAGCCAAACTACTGCCAAAGCCTTTCTATTGCAGCGTGTGTTTTCAGCCTAGATATTGTGCTAGAACTATTTTAAGAGCTTGCTCCCAATGCAGACCTAACCCTTAGGTTTGCTGAGGTTAGATGGTAACCCTCTTGTCCCCTGTCTGGCCAAACTTCTATTTCTAGAAGTGCTGCAAGTGCTTATGTGATATATGGAAATTTAATTAGCTGTAACTTTTCAAAGATAAATATTTCAGACTTTCTTGACTGGAGTGTTTTTTAAGGTCTGTTTAACCCAGTCCCCCCAGTGCTGCAGTTTATGGGAGAGGGTTGCTGTGAAGTTGTTTATTCCAGTAGCTGTGTCTAGTGAATGGTCCCAGCTACCTCTGCACTCTCATTGCTTTGGCCTCAGCCTGTGTTGTTCCCTCTGCTCCCTGAGAGTTTCAGGGAGCTCTCCCATGGCCATGACAAACCAAGTGGGTTATAAACAAGCAAGCAGAGACGTTAAAGGGAAATGGGAAACTGATGTTGCTCAGCTACACTGCTGAAATGAATGGACAAAAAAAGCTGTCTGTGCCTAAAATAGACCTGTCTGGCTCCTCATGTGCTGGCAGACGTCAGTGGTGAGCAAGAATGGGAACTGGTGGTGGGATTGAGGAGCAAGTCATGTCAGGTGTAGCATATGGAAAAAATATTTAAAGGCTGCAGAGCATCATGGTTTATTCTTGCTTCAGAAGTATGGAGAGGAGTTGTTAAAGGGGCTACCCCATGTTTTTTTCTTTTCTTTCTCTGACCCCATCTACTGAATTACTTATAGGTTCCTACCACTAAAGATATTCTATAGTATTATGATTTCAGTCATCTAAAAGTTTCAAATGCTTTGAACACTTTGGTTCACGTAAAAAGTGAGCTAGTAACTTTGATCTAGTGCGAATTAAAAGCTTTACCTGTGTCAATACTCTGCTGGTGATGTAGCAGTGTGGGGGTGTGTGTTGCTTTTCAGTTACTTGTTGCCATTCATACCTTCAAAACTTTTAAATAAAATTTTATGTCAGCAATTTGGATGTCCCAGTTGATTTTGGGTACATGAACTGAATTTTTTTTTTTTTGTTCTTTTCAGGTTAGATTAAAAAATATGATACCACTCAAGTTTTAGATACATTTTCTCAGAAGGAATTTGTTAAAGAATATGGGGACAGCATCCATTTTGTGCAACATGGGCTTCCTGGTCCTGGCTCTTGACTTTCTTTCCTCTTTTCTTTAAAAAAGAAAGAAACATGATTCCTGTTATTTAATTTCATTTTTACTACAAGCAAAATCAGCAATGTGGTTTTAGATACCTTTGCAGAAGGCGTACTGTTATACTCTGTCAGAAAGGCAAACCCCTCCTCAGTGAGTTACCTGTGTGGGCCATGGTAAGTTCCTTCATCCAGTAGAAGTGTTTTTCCGTACTGAACATTTCCTGTTTGGGAGAACAGAACAACATGGTCTAGGTCTGGATCATGCTTGTGATCTGGCTTTCCAGCACCTGCTTTGCTGTCTGGAGACAGCGAGTGAACAGAAATTTGGCCATTTTTAATCATTTAATTGTGAACAAATGATACTCAAATACATCTGAACTTCAAACACACTAAAATACATTTTATGTCATGGTGATCAAAATATATTTGAATAGCTTTAAGTATTTTATAGTGCATCCAGATTCATGCAACAATGGATGAGCTTCATTCATTCAGTATTTTATTTGGCTTAAATTTATGTTTTATAGTTGCTTTTATACCCATATATAGGGAAGAAAAGTGAGGTTAAAATAAAAACAGCAAGCCATAAATGTTTTTATGAAATGAGGTTGAAAACATTCCAGAACTCTTAAGAGCATTTTTTCCAAAGGCAAAGGCTGGAATACCCCAAGAAAATGTAGTCATAGCATCGTCACACTGTGAAAGTCTGGATAGGAGTGTGAGTTTATCTGATTGACTCAGAGTGAAATGAGCTGCATTTGCATCATTCCTGGTAATGTGTTCTGGTGCTCTGAAAAATGTGAGAAGTGACAGCAAAGGGAATGAATTCATTTCAGCAATGGTCAGCACCATGGGGAAAAGCAGGAATGTTACACTGCATTTTTTCAGACTGCTTTTCTAGGGAAAGACTTGGAACCAGAGAAAGTCAGGAAAGGCCTGTGTAAGAGGAGCAGGAGCCTCTAGGAAGTGTAAGATCTGTGAGGAAATGGAGGGCTCTCACTTAAAACAGTTGAAATCCTGGGCTGTGGGACCATGTTCTGGCTGGCTACACAGCCTGGGATCCTGTTCTCTCTGATGCCCCTGGCAGATGGAAATTCTCATCAAGGTCTTAACAGTGTTCTTCTGTCCCAAGCTGCCCTGAACATGGTGGGGGCTTTACCCAGATGTGAAGTCAGGTTTGGGAAGCCAGTAGGAAATTCTTTTGTGTGTTTTAGTCCTGATGTAGTCTGGCTGTGAGTGCTTTCTCTGTTTTGGGGAGATGGAATTTGCCTCTCCAGGCTCTTAGTGTCTCTCATTAATTGCTGCTTCAAAAACCCTGATACTCCTAGTTTGTTTTTACGAACTTACTGCCAGCCTGCAGACTTTTTCTTAGGTAAAGCAGATGCTGTGAGTATGTTCTGGCCAATCTGAATTCTGTTGGTAGTCCAAATTGCAAGACACTTATCTATCACTTTCTTATTAAAAGCACAATCTTCATGAAAGTTTTACTTGAGCATTGTTTTAAAGCTGGATAATGAATGTCCCATTTCAGTCAACCACTTCAGCCAAGGAAGAAGCTGATCATGTTTGCAGCAATTTCAAAGAACTAGCAACAGAAACAGCATTACATTATTAAAGACCTGTGAATTTATCAGCAGCTTTTTGTGGACTAAGATTCTATAATTTTCATTTTAAAGAAGCTAAGGAAACTTTTTCAGAAGAGCATCATCCTTTCTGCAAGTTGTAGAAAAGGATTTAGCTTTGCTCAGCATATTTTTCCTTCCCTTTCAGCAAGCTTGATCATGACTATTTTTGTCTTTGTTATTAACTTTGCTAACAGTATTGCTAATTTCTTTGCATGGTTATTTAAATGTCTAAGAGTAGCTAGTTAGAGCCATACTGAGGCCCTTTCATCAGTTTCCCTAATCCAGCTACTTGTTCTTAGGTTAGTGAAAGTTTATGGGGAGCAATACCATGCAACGATCCAGCTTTTGATCTATAACAAGTAGTTTGGGTATGTTTAACAGTACAGAAACCCTTATTCTGTTCTAAAACCTTTTGTTAATAGTAAAGAAGACAACAAAGCTTTATTTGAAATAGAGATGTTGGAAACTTAAGGAAAGGGCTGTCAGAGACATAGCAATTTGTCTTGTAAAGGTAATTATAGTTGGTGCCTAACTGATTTTTGAGGATTTCTGCAGTTTCAGGAAAACAGATGTTTGGTCCTGATGATCCTGTTCCATGGGGCCTCATGCTGTGGTTTCAACCTGATCTGACTCTGGTCTCCTCTTTACAGAGAACTTGCTGACTAAATACATTTAAACTCTGCTGAGGGGCTGCTGCTTGGCATTATATATGCACCAAGATGAGGACAAGAACAGGCAGTATCCAGAAATACCTCCACTGAATTAATACACACAAAATCTCACGTTGTCAAGGGGCGTTTTATTTAGGACATCATATTTAATGTGTGATTTCTCTAGCTTTTAGCTGTTGGCAAAGTGAATTTTAATCTCATTTTGAGATGAAGAAGAAAAAGAACTCAGTGGAATAAAATGCTTTGAAATAAAACTAACTTCAGGAAGACCCTGAGCTAGCTGTAGCAATACCCTGGAAGTGCAAGATTTGGTTTTTCAGGTTTGTGGCTGGGGGTTTTTTGTGGGTTTGTTTGTTTGTTTGTCAGGCTGATTTCTGAAAACAGAGGTTGTGCTTTCCTGTCTCTGTGTCCCTTCTCTCCCACCCAGCCTTGTTAAGTAATACTGGACCTTGTCAGCCAACT